GCCCCCCCATGGTATATAAAAGCACGTGAATCCGGTATAGTTGCCCCCCTGCCGGGCTGTGGTGGGCTGTGGGTGTGCAGGGGGGTCGTGTAGAGTCGTAAATGACTGGTGTAGTGTGTTGTGTGTGGTGGGGGGTGTGACACAGTGATTGACAGGAGGTGGACAGGGTCGTTATTCTCTCTAATCAATTGCGCTTTACTGGTTTATAGCAACCCCACCCGACCCCACCCTTCATTTACATTAATGCTTGTTAATCACTGTTAACACCTGCTATAAACCTGATTTAATAATCAAACACATAGATAATAATCAGGAACATACATTTCCTTGAAATGATACCATAACATTGTAAAGCAGTGAACAATGAATGACGTTTACAAAGCCAATTAATATTCAGTGCCATAAACTCACCAAACTGAAGCTGAATGATCTTGTGTTGTCTTGATTTAAGCATTTCAGTGTGATGAAATAAATCAGACCTGAAGCATATAAACTGATCGTTTGTTCGTTTAGTAATAAACCTCTCATTTATTAAGTGTGACATTGTGTGTCCTGCATCATAAATGTGTGTATAATAATTAAAATATGTGCAGGTTGTTGGGAACGCTGTCCAGTAGTGGCTTTTCAAACCATTATTTGAGTGACAAAATGCTACAAAATAAATAGCATTTGCTATTTGGTATACACATTTAACACAATAGCATGTAACAAAATTTGACAGTATTACTGTTTTTATAGCTTTAAAAAGACTAAAGCTGAGAAACGTTAGATCATTCACTATTTTTGATTCTACTCACAGCCTTAGTGTTAAAGAAAATAAAGGATATATAAATGCATGTGGAAAAACTTAAATTTCCATAGAAAAATTTAGAGTTCCATATACGCAGAATTAACTTTTTTCCCCCCTACATTTGAATTGCAGTCACACCAGAACACATTCTGTTATCCTGACGTTTTCCAAGTCAGCCAGGTGCATTAGTTGCACATTATTTAGATATGGATGTTGAATAAAATAGCTTTACGGTGACTAAATATTTAGATTATTTTTTAAATTTTTTCATAAATGGTCTTTTGGACTGGAGTTTTGCAAGTTAGACTCTGTTTAAGTAATATATCTAACTCATGATATGGCCTCTTTAAGATATCTTCCAGTGGAGAGCAGACATTTCTGTCAGCAGTCTGTATTTTGTAGACGTAACAGGGCAGATCTTGTGCCTAAATCCACAGCTGATGCTTCCAGTCACAGAAGAGTCAGTAAATCTGTTGACTGAAGGAATGCTGTGGCGCACTGAATGATCTCTCTTTGATATTGTTTCCTTTTGTTGCATTTTAATTAGTACAAAAGTAGTCCTTCAGTCTCCATCTGTGTAGCCACATAATAAAGTTAAGTGAATAATCAGACGCAGTATTTTGTGGGTTTCATAGTTTCCACACCCTGCTGTCTAAGTGAGGATCTGCTGGCAGGGGAACATGGGAAATATTCTGGCCAGTGCTGTGCTATGGTAGATACATTAGCATGTTAGTGTAGGCCAGCGTGTGTGTGTGTGTGTGTGTGTGTGTGTAGAGCTGCGCTCCTCCCTGTCTCGTCTGTGACATCCTTTAGGGAAAGAGCTGTGAATGGCCGTTTTGAGTGTGTGCAGTGCATTACTGCTACTATATCATTGTCCTTTTTTGTTTGTACAAACATGGCATTTATCAAAGTGTGCATGTGATTTGAGGTGGATGTGTGTGTTATTAAATGTGCATGTGTGAGTGAGTGCTTGTAATTGCCTGAGTGTGTATTTACAGTTGCCCCAAAAAGTATTTGGACACTTAAGCAACACTTCAGTAGATCAAACCAAATATAATTTAATTTAAAGTGATAGCGCAAAAAAGCTAAAAATACAAATATTTGTAAAAAAATTGGTTAATTAAAATATAACTGAAATAAAATATTATATATTACATGAAAATTAAACTTGAAAAACTTGAAAATGAAATTAAAAAAAAATTCAATTGGAAGTGCTAAAGTTACTACAACTGAAAAAAGTAAACCTAAATACAAAAAAAAACGAAAACATTTAAAAATCACAAACTTACTAAAGTGAAAATTAAAACTGAAAATATAAAACTAAAAGCTAATTCAAAATATTAGAAAATATAAATGGTACAAAAATAATACCGGATAACACTGGTATTGTTATATTATTTTAATATATTGCAAAGATCTCCAGACAAGTGTGACTTAAGTTTCCAGAAGTGTCAGTGGTTTTGTGGTCTGTGAATGTCTGATCGTGTTTTCTCTGTCTCAGTGTCATGTCGCTGGGGTTCTGGACAGCTCTTTGCTCCGCTGTGATAAACTGGACCAATCTGAAGTGAAGAACATATTAATGTGCTTTCTGCACGTGTTAAAGAGCATGTCTGAAGGTACACACACACAACTGAGATTATATTAGCCTGCTTCATTGTAGTTGTCTGTTGTTTGACCGATGCATTTTCTGCGTGTTAGATGCTCTGTTCAACTACTGGAATAAAGCTTCAGCCACAGACCTGATGAACTTCTTCAGTCTGCTAGAGTAAGTGCTGCACTTCACACCTGCACCTCCACAACACACACCCACACACACACACACACACACACACTCCTGGCTCATCATTAATTTCTCATCTGATTTCAGAGTGTGTCTTCATCAGTTCAGATACATGGGAAAGAGACACATTGCAAGGTAATGTCTTTAATTCTTTATATGTTTTTTTTACGAACACATTTATTAATTTTGCACATATTTATAATATTAGAATATAAATATGTCATGAATAATATATAGAAATATACAGTAGGTAGCACTTTACAATGAGGTCCTAAAAATACTACATTTAAATGAGCAATATATCTGCTTCAGTGTTTATTAATCTTTGCATTAATGTTGGTTAATAAAAATACAAATGTTAATTTTAGCTCAGGTCCATTAAATAATATTAATAGATACTTTTGTATCTATTATAATCATGTTTTTGTGAATGTTGAAATTAACTAAGATTAATAAATGCTCTAGGAGTGTTCAAGTTCATGTCAAATTGTAGTTAAATAATGTTAACAAATTAAACCCTATTGTATAGTACCCCAATGTATAATGTTATAAATAAATAATATATAAATAATGTTTTATAATAGTATTTTTTGACTAAGTAACCAGAAATGTGTTCAGAAAACTGGTGAGTTAAGCACCACTAAATATATGTTTCTGCTATTGGCCAACATGTTTTATTGATACCAACAGCAGTTAATAACAAACTCATATCAGACAACCACTAATAATTATGACAGAAGATTTCTTTTTTGTCAGCGAGTGTTTAATGAGCTCATAATAGAAGCTTCCGAAGTTCCTGTTACATTTGACTCTGTCATCAGGACTCTGGAGGGGTCAGGGTCGGTGGTTCACGAGCGCCGCTCTCAGACTCTTCCTGTGTCCCGCAGCAGGACAGGAGCCCTACATATGAGACTGCAGCAGCTCAACAGCCTGGACAACTCCTACACCTACAACCACAGTGAGACACACACACATCCAGCTATTACATCTGCAGCTCTCTTTAGTCTTGGAATAAAAGACAAGAAATGAAAGCTTCCTTCTGTTTTAATATTTAATGTTGAAAGAAATGGACTTAATTTATGAGATCAAATGAAATAAAGATTTTTTTAGAGAAAATTATTGAAAATTAGCCAAAAATGTGTTCAGCCTCAGGCCATCCAAGATGTAGATAAGTTTGTTGCTTCATCAGAACAGATTTGGAGTCCAAACAGCTGATAAAAACAACACAATAATCCACACCACTCCAGTTCATCAATTAACATCTTGTGAAGTGAAAAGTGTTGTAATAAAGCTTTGTAATAAACAAATCCATCATTAGGACATTTTTTTGGCTAAAATATGAGTCCATAATAACACTTCCTCTAGTGAAAAACTTAATCCCCCGTTGTTTTATCACATTAAAATCCACTGTCATATTTGTTTAGAGCTGTTTTCACTCTAGACAGTGCTTGATCTGAGCATATTTATCTAGACGAGACGAGATGACTTTTCCACTGGAGAAAGCAATATTATGGATGAAATATTTTAGCCGGAAGCAATGGTTTAAATTTACTTATACGTATTAATGATAGATTTGTTTATTACAAACACACAACTTTTCACTTCACAAGATGTTAATTGATGGACTGGAGTGGTGTGGATTGCTTGTGGATTATTGTGATGTTTTTATCAGCTGTTTGGACTCTCAATCTGGCTGCACCCATTCACTGCAGAGCATCCATTGCTGAAAAAGTGATGTAATGCTACATTTACATTTTACATTTATTCATTTAGCAGACGCTTTTATCCAAAGTGACTTACAATTGGGGAATACATCAAGCGATTCATCTTAAAGAGGCAAATAGACAGGAAATGTTCGTAATACCAAGTTTCAAGCATTGTTCAAATAAGTACAAGCTAGACAGGGAAAGATTAAAGAAAAGAGAAAACAAAGTTTTTTTGTAGGATGAAGTCAAATAGTGACGAAAAAGATGAGTTTTCAGCTGTCGCTTGAAAATTGTCAGGGAATCATTCCGGATGGGGATTGGAAGATCATTCCACCAGCCAGGAACGGTGAACGAAAATGTTCTGGAAAGCATAGAGCTGTGTGTCATCAGCATAGCAATGGTAGGGGAAACCATGTGCCTGTATTATGGCTCCCAGTGATGTAGTGTATATGGAGAAGATGAGAGGTCCCAGAACTGATCCCTGAGGAACCCCAGTGACCAGTTGATGTGCTTTGGATACCTCCCCACCCCAGGCCACCCTGAAAGACCTACCAGTGAGATAGGATTCAAACCAGCGAAGTGGAATCCCTGTGATGCCCAGTCCCAGGACACCCTGAAAGACCTACCAGTGAGACTGAAGTGGAATCCCTGTGATACCCAGCGATGAGAGGGCGGACAGGAGGATCTGATGATTGACAGTGTCAAAAGCAGCAGATAGATCCAGCAGAATAAGAACTGATGATTTGGAATCAGCTTTTGCAATCCACAGGGCTTCAGTGATTGACAGTAGCGCAGTCTCAGTTGAATGGCCACTTCTGAAGCCTGACTGGTTAGGATCCAGTTGGTTGTTCTGTGAAAGAAATAATGATACCTGGTTAAAAACAACTCGTTCGAGTGTTTTTGCTATGAAAGGAAGGAGAGAGACAGGTCTGTAGCTATCTATAAATTACCAAATCTGTTCTGATGAAGAAACAAATTTAATAGAATTTATAGGCAAACCTCAATAAATTCAAATGTTAACAGCATTAAATCTATTGACAGCCATACAACATTCTCATTTGTTTACTTTCATTCACAGTTATTTGTTTTACTCATTTACTATTATTCTGACCTCACAGCACATAGAGCAGCTCTCAGATCAGCTGTTATAAGACCCTTCCACATTTGTGTGTGTGTGTGTTTGTAGATTACAGTCATTCAGATGCTGATGTGTTGAATCAGTCTCTGTTGGAAGGAAATATTGCCACAGAAGTTTGTCTAACAGTTCTGGACACACTGAGCATCTTCATCATGGGCTTTAAGGTCAGACATCAGCCATCATCATCATCATCATCACAATCACCTGCAATCATGAGTAGTGTTTGTTCACTTTATTCCTCACTGATAACAGTGTGTGTGTTTATATGTGTGTTTGCTCTCAGACTCAGCTGAGTTTGGATCACGGCCACAATCCCCTCATGAAGAAAGTCTTTCAGGTTCATCTCTGCTTCCTACAAATCAACCAATCAGAGACGGCCCTCAAACAGGTCTTCACTTCTCTTCGCACTTTCATCTACAAGGTGAGTGTGACAATAGAATAAGCACATAAATCAGTGGCTACTAAAAGGACAGTCCATCCAAAAATGAAAAATCTGTCATCATTTACGAGGGCCCTATGATTTTGTGGAGTGGAAAATACAGATAGAATCCCGTCATAAATTGCATAATTTCACAGAATTTGGCAAATTTTGGATGAATAAATCAAAAGTGGGGTTGTACTATTTATCAAATTGCAATATGTACTAGTGTCTGTGAAAATTAAACTGTGAACGACATGCATTTCTGCATGTCTCTGTGTGAGTGAGTGTTGCAGTACAACAATATTGTACTTCTACTATACAACATTACGTAATAATAATAATAATGAAATGATTAAAACCTTTTTTAAAGGAATATTTCAGTGTTTTAATTTAAATTTTTTACAGTAAACTTCTGTTGTTCAGCACTTTGTTTGCCTAAAAATCAAATGAATTGTTGCATTTTCATTTGATAATATTTGAAAAGGTTAAAAGATTATTTAAAAAAACAATTTTTTAATTGTTAATGTTTTATGCTTTCATTTGATTACCACCATTGTTGATAATAAATGTGTATTAAATTAAAAATCCAAGTAAATTAAAACATAGAAAATTAGAATTTCTTTAAAAAAAAAAATCTTAATGTCAGAATGTTAATAAATTATCAGTTGTTAAAGTTTTATAAATTCAATTTATTAGTCATGCTTTTTGATCTGATTTAATTGAAATCTAGAAGTAAAACAGAAAATACAGAATTTGGCAAAAATAAAACAATTTGGGAAAAAAAATAAAATCCAATTTGTAAAAAAAAATTCATAGGGCTTTAATTTACTTCCCCTCATGTCATTCCAAATGATGACGATTATGTTCACACTGCTGTTTTCCTGTTTTCTTTCATGTATGTGTCCGAAGTTTGTCTAACAGTTCTGGACACACTGAGCATCTTCATCGTGGGCTTTAAGGTCAGACATCAGCCATCATCATCATCATCATCACAATCACCTGCAATCATGAGTGGTGTTTGTTCACTTTATTCCTCACTGATAACAGTGTGTGTGTTTATATGTGTGTTTGCTCTCAGACTCAGCTGAGTTTGGATCACGGCCACAATCCCCTCATGAAGAAAGTCTTTCAGGTTCATCTCTGCTTCCTACAAATCAACCAATCAGAGACGGCCCTCAAACAGGTCTTCACTTCTCTTCGCACTTTCATCTACAAGGTGAGTGTGACAATAGAATAAGCACATAAATCAATGGCTACTAAAAGGACAGTCCATCCAAAAATGAAAAATCTGTCATCATTTACGAGGGCCCTATGATTTTGTGGAGTGGAAAATACAGATAGAATCCCGTCATAAATTGCATAATTTCACAGAATTTGGCAAATTTTGGATGAATAAATCAAAAGTGGGGTTGTACTATTTATCAAATTGCAATATGTACTAGTGTCTGTGAAAATTAAACTGTGAACGACATGCATTTCTGCATGTCTCTGTGTGAGTGAGTGTTGCAGTACAACAATATTGTACTTCTACTATACAACATTACGTAATAATAATAATAATGAAATGATTAAAACCTTTTTTAAAGGAATATTTCAGTGTTTTAATTTAAATTTTTTACAGTAAACTTCTGTTGTTCAGCACTTTGTTTGCCTAAAAATCAAATGAATTGTTGCATTTTCATTTGATAATATTTGAAAAGGTTAAAAGATTATTTAAAAAAACAATTTTTTAATTGTTAATGTTTTATGCTTTCATTTGATTACCACCATTGTTGATAATAAATGTGTATTAAATTAAAAATCCAAGTAAATTAAAACATAGAAAATTAGAATTTCTTTAAAAAAACAAATCTTAATGTCAGAATGTTAATAAATTATCAGTTGTTAAAGTTTTATAAATTCAATTTATTAGTCATGCTTTTTGATCTGATTTAATTGAAATCTAGAAGTAAAACAGAAAATACAGAATTTGGCAAAAATAAAACAATTTGGGAAAAAAAATAAAATCCAATTTGTAAAAAAAAATTCATAGGGCTTTAATTTACTTCCCCTCATGTCATTCCAAATGATGACGATTATGTTCACACTGCTGTTTTCCTGTTTTCTTTCATGTATGTGTCCAGTTTCCATGTACGTTTTTCGAGGGTCGTGCGGATATGTGTGCGTCTTTCTGCTACGAGATTCTGAAGTGCTGTAACTCCAAACTGAGCTCCATCCGCAGCGACGCGGCTCATCTGCTCTACTTCCTGATGAAGAGCAACTTCGACTACACTGGACGCAAATCCTTCGTCCGCACACACCTGCAGGTGGAAAAACACCACGTTTATCGTATGACGCTGAAGTCACAGTGTTTGGATGTGTCTGGATTATTTCATCCAGTCTTTACAGATTCGATGACGACAGCATGTGATGATGTCATAGCGACGTCATGTTGTGATTGGTTGTGACTCCTCAGGTGGTGATTGGCGTCAGTCAGCTGATCGCTGATGTCATCGGAATAGGAGGGACGAGGTTCCAGGAGTCGCTGTCAATCATCAACAACTGTGCCAACAGTGACAAAACTATCAAAGTTAGTTCATTTTAAATACACTCACGCAAGCGCTAGATCCTGAAACAAAGATCAGATGTGTCTGATTACAGTGGAAGTGATTTTTGGGGACAGACAACATTGTGTTATGCTTGATTTTTCAAAGAGTTGATTTGTTGGGATATAAAATGTAATGTGTCTTGGAAATAAACAGGTAGTTTTAGGATTTAGGAAAATTTGAAAAGAAATGTTATTTGTCACTTGTGAACTCTCTTGTACAAATGGTCAGATATCCGAGATGATCCTTTAAAC